CCAAAGCTTTGTCTAGCTGGCTCTTAAAAACCTGCAAGTATGGAGACTCCACAGCCTGTCTGTGTAACCTGTTCCAGTGAGGTTCTGGTGGTTGGTGCTTTTCCCCCACAACTGTTCCTGTACACTGGGGGAGGGGGCACACTTAATGAGTTTTGGTGAGCTGTTGAGGGTCACACACATAAAATCTTTCAGATGATACCATTTTAATATAAATAAAAACAAAATCATATACTAAAACCAAACCTCTACTATAACACATTTTAGTAGATTTTATTTTATTTAAAAAAATATTTTTGTCCAGATTTTTTTTTTTTTTTTAGTAGTGTATATAGAGGCAATTGCATAATAGTTCAAAATAAAGTCTTGTATATTGTATGTGGTGGGGGGTATGGGGTGTGTGGGGGCTGCCCACACACTCGGTCCCAGGAGCCGGTCAAGGCTGGGGAGAGGTAGGGAGAGAAGGAGACATGTAAAGCAGAGTTTACCCAGGTGGTGCGGTGCAGCTGCAGATGTAGTCCACTCTTCCCTCATCCAGCCAAGCCCTGCCCACTTCCACCCAGGGCAGCCCATGCCATGCTCCTACCCACACCACCCTAAGTCTGCCAATGGCACTGCCCCAGCCAGGCCAGCACAGAGCTTCCCAGAGGGGTTTCTCCTCCTACTGCTGCAGCTGCCTGGGTACTGCTCAGCTCCCCCTGCCTCCAGTCGCTCCTCTTCCTCCTATTGCACTGCTCCAGTGCAGTGTGGGCACAGTTTCCAGCTGCATGGCTCTGGCTGCTGATGCACTGCCAAAGCCACTCAGCCCACAATGGATCAAAGCCAAGTTGTTCCAGCCCATGGCTTGGAAGGGTTACCAGCCCCGGCTCTAGACTGTCCATTGAGCCCCTGGACTTCTTCAAGAACAACTGGACAGTTTCTGGCACTCTCTCTTTGGAGTTCCTACTCATCTCCCTTATTCTGAACCTTTGATTTGAACTCCCATACCTGTTGTTCCATCGGATCCCTTGCTTTTTTAAGGCTTGGTGGCTTCTTCCTCAGTTAAGAGGCAGGCATTTCTTCCTAGGCAAGCCTTTTGTCTTGGGTCTACTTCACATAGGATGAAGAGATATGCTCTAGATTGTATTCCTGTAGTTGAGGTTGATGTAGACAGGGTCATACAAGTTAGTCTTTCAGAGATTCAGCCTAGAGCATGGTTTGGTCACACACATGTGGTTCAAGGCTTAGTTCTGAGATTCTAGGCAAAGCTGTAGCCACGTCTCTATGGTCATAGAGGCGTTGGAGCAGTGAGCACAGAACAGCACTCAGAATCCGGGTTCTGGAAGCAGTATAATGGAAGCAGCAACCAGAGTGCCAGCTAAGGAGCTATCACATATACATTAATGCACAGTTAGAAGTTTTGCAAATTAAAGAAACTCAGGACCATTCCCAACTAGATTGCACCAGCGAAAGCTTTGTCTCCAAGGAGAGAGATTTCACACCCTCTCTGGGTAACCTTTTCCAGTGTTTTACTACTCTCCTCGTGAGAGGTTTTCCTAATATCTAACCTGAACTTCCCCTGCTGCAACTTGAATGGGCTTCTGTATTGGACAGGAGAAGAGAGGTTTAAAAGTAAAGGTGAAAAAATTGATTTTTCTTACTTCACATTCAGAGAAGTAGGAAATGAAGCCAGTATTGTGAGCTTGAATAGGCCAGCAGAAATGCTTTTTTACTTTCCTCAATATGAAGTACTTGATTAGAAAGTTTGAAAAGGTGACAGACATTGTTTTGTTTTGTTGTGCTTCGTTTTCCCCACTTTTTCCTTTCTCATCCACCATACAAGTAGGCAGGTGAGGAGTCTGGGTGAGTAGAATTAAAGTACTTAGCTTTATTAAAATTAGTCTCTGACAAATGGACTGTCTGAGCTAGCAGAGTTCTGCAAAGAGCTGATGGGCAAATCCAATCTAGTTCCTTCTTTAACAGAAATAGATTATCTAATCAAATTCCATATTTTATAAGACCTAAATCAAGCACATTTCCTCCCTATTCCCATGGAAAGATTCTTCATTTGCTGTGGAGACTGGCCTTAGCAGTTTTCAACTGAAGTAGTTTGGCTGTCAGAGTAACTCGTGTATCTACAATTTTAGTATCATGCAAAACTCTGCAAGAAACAATTTATCTGTCATATTTCTGTTAGTTCATTCTTTCCACCTGTATAGTCTTCAGTTCCTTGATTCTACCTTTCAATTTTTGTGTGCATCCTAGAGCAGAATCTTTTCAAAAGGATCTAAACAGGATGTGGGTTTTGATTCCCTTAGTGTAAGCACAATGTGTGCCTAATAGATGTGCTTTGTTATTTAGCAAAAAACCGTGTGCTCCCTCTTGATGTCAGATGGTAAAAACCATCTAGAGTTGAATATCTGTACATAAGACTAACTTCAGAGAATCTGCTTACAGGGAGTAACCACTCTTTCTCTGTAAACCTCCCTTCTAAAGACCCAGCTTTGCAGGGATTTAGTGACAAAAAAGAGCAAGCTGACCCTAGAATTTTAAGAACACAAGACTCCTAATGGATCTTGACAGTTGAAGGGGTAAAGAAGCATTTTAATTACTTGTGCCCACCCACTGTTCATAAAAATGTAAATATATCTGTCTTGAACAATTTGCCGAGAAATGTGGTTTTAATTTGTTAGCAGCAACCCCCACTGCCCGCAGCCTTTTTTGAGTCAAGTCACAAGTCTGGCTCTTTGACGTTTTTCTCTGTCATGGCATCATTGTTTATATGATGTCTGCTGTCCCCCTTTTTATGCCTGGAATATTTTTCTTTAATTATTTCACTAGCTAAAAGGAATTAGGGATTACCAGACAGGATGAGAGTAGATTAGCCTTTTTTCTTTCCTTAATGAGCCTGGAATTCCCATAGGAAATAAATAGTATTCCCAAAACATAGGGTGGTTTTCTGTTTTTTTCATACTAAATTGACTAAAATGATTAGGCTGAATAAAGAACATAAAGGAATTTTTACAAATAATAGTTGAGTATCTTAGTGGTATATGCAGTGTCCAGTTGTTATTTATGACTCTTTGCCTTCTGCTATGGACTTATTCCAGCCGTAGGGAGTTTACATCATTCCTAATAGCAAAAGGCTCTCTGGTTCCCACAGAGTCTTTCAAAGACTGACTCATACTCCTTATATTAATTGTTCAGCTCTCAAAATACAGCACTTACAGGGTGTGGCTCAAAGAGGAAAATCTACTGTACTTACAGGGCATGTTCAGAAGTGTTTCGCACACAAATCATTTTGGGGTCATTTATTTACTGTGTTTTTAACACCTTAACCCTTTTTTGTCACTATTTATGACAAGTGATTGAAAACAAAATAAGTCTAAGATGGTGTAATTTAACACAGCGACCTTTTGCCTATGAGCTGTTAACTTAAAGCCAAACTCAGGTCAAAAGTAAAATCATTTGTGTTGTCTCAGTGTCTCTCTGGGGTCATTTACTTGCATCTGAAGGGCACTGCACAGTCCAGTTTAGTATCATTCTTTTATATAAGAGGACACCCCCTAGAACTGCAAATTGTTGGTTGACTTACAGTAGCAAGCAAGTCCAGTGTCTGTCTACTGTCTTCATTTGTCTTGACTGTAATCTTAGGTTTCCACTAAGTGCTACTTTTCATCAATTGGTTACTGTCTTTAAAAGAAACACCTAGCAGGCAGGTGGCCACATCATATTTGGCATCCATGTTGGCAGTCTTGGCAAGGATTGCATGAGATTTGACTCTTCAGGATTTCATCACTTCAGAGCTGGTCCCTCAGTGTAAGGGAAGCTTACACTGATGCTGTCCATGGTCCCATTGTTTTTTGGCTAAATACAACTTCCGTCTCTTGGACTATCGCCTAATTTCTTTGTATAAACATAACCATGATACAGGTTTATAGGATGAAGTTCATTGGCCTGTTATGCAGAAGGTCACGCTAAATGACCATGAATGACCTGTTTTGGCCTTAAAAACAATGAAACAGTCGGTCTTAGCTTTCCTTAGGTCTGTCTCACTGGTTGTCTGCCCGAGCTAGATTCACAGGGCAGAGCAAGAAGCAACTCCCCACCTGTGGATCCATGGAGGTTCTTCATCTAGATTGTGTAGGAAAGATGTACCAAAAGAGAAAGAGATAATTCCCACCTATGAGCAATGCCGCTTTTCTTCTCTCCCTCCTGTCCAGCAGTGCCAAGTTTTATCTCCTCAGTCCAAAGTCTCAGAGACCACACTAATGTGAAGAATATGCAAGGTAGTAATGAAGTCAGCAAATGGCTGGACTCTCTGCAAAATTATTTAATTGTAAAAGGAAGTGCGCACAGCTTGAAGAGAGAGAGTATTTCCCTCTTTTTTCCATATCTCTGTATTATATAAAGCCATGGTACTGCTGTTAGCTGAGACCAGAAAGAATTTCTCTGCGGTTCTGTAGTAGCCAACCACCACAAGCCGTGACCATCAAAATGTTAGTGTTAAAAGTTTTAACCCTTACTTGCTTAAATAGAGCAAGTAATACTCTGCGTATTTTTTTTTAAACATGGAAAATTATGGGAATTCTTCAGAGAATAAGGGTATAGACCACTGCGCCACTCAGTCTCTTCAGAAAAAAACTGACAAACATGCTGCTGTCTGCAACAGAGATTCCTGGCATTTGTCACAGTTTGAGCCACAAAGATGTCAGATATTTGCCAACAGTTTCCTCAGATGGTTTGGAATCTACATCCTTTACATTACAGTCTTGTTTGTTTGTGGTATATCTTAACGTATGAAATATGCACATTGGGAGTCTGAAAGGGGAGCAAGCTGTCTAAGCAGTCCCTGATATTATAATATTACAAATATTTTTTTTCTAAGTTGCTTTTCCTTCTCCTTCTCTTTGGATTAAAAATAATAAAGAACATCTGTAAATCTTAAGTGTTCAGCAGTAGAGTTTTATTTTAAAAAATCATACCTTCTGAGTGTTTTAAACCTGTGTTTTCTTTTGGAGCAGAAAGAAAAACTTTCTAATGGGACCGCTGAATATTTTGCTGAATCTGCTGAAAAGAAAAAGTACAACATTCCTCTGACTCAACAGATAAAGCAAGATATCTTGAAAGATATGTATGTCCACTTTTTCTGTACTTATATGATACTTAATATGATTTGACAGCATGTGAGTAAAGCAGAGGCTGACCTATGCTGTCAAAAATCAAATAACAGCACCCTTTTTCTTTATACATTGGATTACTGTAGGCTAGTAAACAGTCAGGCAATGAACTGTGAATTAAGCACATAAAAGCACACTGTAATTTTGTAAAATAATACCAAATATAGCTGCTACAACCCACATATATCCCTCGTAGCAATAGGCAGAATGAAACAGGTTGTTTTTTTTCTTTAAAAAACATGAGTGCCAAAAAAATTCATGTGATGATTGAATCTGATGGAAAACTTTTTACAAAAATGGTTTTTCCCCATTTGGGAGCCTGCAGCATACAGCACTGAAAATAACAGTGCAGACCTTCACCGCAGTTGAGGAGTACACAGGGCTACTGGACAGTGAAGAGAGTAGGGAGCAGAGGTGCTAGACTTGTCCCCTAGTGTAACCTGCATCCCACTCTGTCTTGCACCTGCTGTCAGTTGCCCCAAAGGTTAGTACAGCAGCTGCTGGATCAGGAGATGGCAGAGAGTCCTGGCAGCCCTTCTTTTAACCCTAGTCAGATCCGTTGGGCTTGCTGAGGAAACAGGAATAGGGTGGGAGCTGCTGTGCTCTCTGCATCTCTGGAAGGTCATCTCCACCCTATTTCTGAATTGATCCTCCCAGGCTCAGATATGCTGGGGTTTAGAGTCAGTTGGCATCAGCAAAACTGTAGAAAGCAGTTTCAGCATGGGAGAATCTCTGCTAAGATCTTTAGACTTTAACTCCTACATCTACAACTTTCATTGAAAATTCTTTCTCCAGCCTGTGTGATATTAAGATGTGTGTGTAACATATGCTGTTGAAAAGTGTTTATGTACTGACACTCCATCGTGTCTCTTGTGGTTGCATTTTCTTTTTAATACCTTTCAGAATACCATCCACTTATATTACTTAAGCCCTTCCCCAGTTCAGTACACTTGGTATCAGCTGACTAGTGGTTAACTTGTAAGTAGGGCTTGGAAATGTCCTGGGAGAAATTCCAGAGAAATATTCTAAACTAGAGACCTGAAACTAATACATTCCTCTCCCTTCCCCCCCCACTACCATACATATGCATTGTACATATGTATTATGTGAATGATTTGAAACCATTTAGGCTTATATGAAACCCTTTTTTTTTTTTTAATCTAGTTGGTTTGGGAAGGAATTCAATATACTGTATTTAGGCAATATTAACCCTTCACATCTATAATGAATCTAGGTTTGCCTCTTGGAACAAAAGGTGAACTGCTTCACAGCTTAGTTATTAATAAAATTGGGTTCCCCTAGTGTAGTAGAAAAATCAGACAGATAGACCTTGATGCTATTCACACTAGATAAACATTACTGCTTGTCAAGATAATGTACAGGACAGATTTTCCAAATCCAGAATTGGGGTGCCATACTAAACGTTCAGAATTTGTAGAAGGGCAGAGTGAAGCAGTATAGATTCTTTGTTAGTAAAAGCAAAACCTTTTTTATTACAGTGCAAAAAGGAAAAAAACAAGCAATGGTAACTCGAGCAAACCTCAAACCAGGGAGGACACCATGAAAGTGTATCTTGGCTCAGTAAACTCGGAGACAGGGAACGGGAAGAATGAACGTCAAACTCCTTCCGATCCTCAGTCTGAAGCAAAATGTAGGCGCATAGAACAACCAAAGGATTGCAAAAATGCAGCTGAGAGCTTCCTGTTTTAGAACTGGAAAATGATGTTAATCGGATACAGCCAGATGATGCTAGCAGCCAGCAAAAACTTCACTCGGCAGAGTGGTTAAAGATGAGACTTCTAAGCAAGTACCTTCCATGTAGATGTGAGTCAGCACTGCCAGATCCAAAACAAAGTCAAGGAGTGACTGAAACACAGAATCAGCAAAGGAGCTGTGGTTCAGAAGAAAAGTTGGATCCCTGCAAAAAAGCATTTTCTGAAGAGGATTATCTAATCCCCACAGACATAGAAACAAAGAAAAACAATGCTGATTGTTTAGAACCATCTTCAGAAGTGAAGACCCAATTGAATTCCAAGTTGTTTGCTAAACAAGACTTGGCAAAATCTATGTCTGATGAAGAGTCACTTACTTTGGGGAAATATCCCCTAAGACTTTTTTTTTATGAAAAATAATACACCAGTTGAGCAGACAAACCAAAATGAGCCAGCCACAACCACTGAAGAATTATGCCTAATGCCTCTATCCTCTTATTTAAAACTTAACTCCAAGCCTTCAGAGGAGCTTGTGCACAAAAGAAAGAAAGATGTTGAAGACAGACCTAGAAAGTTAAAACTACGGAGGGTTAAAAAGTCATGATGTACTAAATATCACCATTGTGAATTCAGTTAGGCACCCATAGTTGTTTTCAGCAGACATTTATGCCAAGTTATATTTGAAAGAATTCAGAAAAAATAGAAATGATAAAATTGCAGGTGATTAAATGTACCAGTTAAATTGTTAAACTTCTTTGCAATGAAACTAATTCACTACATGCCACAAACACATGGATCTGCCATAACGATACACTTGGTTTTTGCCTGTCAAAATAATGTATTTAAATATTTAACAAAAGAAGGACATAGTGTTTATATAATTAGGCAGTATTTCACATATAACATTTTACCATTTCAAACTAAAGTTTCTCTGGGGAGGATAGGGTAAATTTTGATACTACTAATAAATCATTACCCAAAGATCTGAGGACAGCAAAATTAAGGCAACTGTCATAATCAGTTCACGTACAGTTTTTCCAGTTTTGTGCTGACTGCTAAACACGAAATTTTATTCACCCATTAAGCTTTTAGTGGGGAAAATTCTTGTTTAATTCATTTGACGTTTGGAAAGAGAAAAAATGCCCCAGGGTAGTGAAGTTTAAACTTTCATTTTCTTTTAAAATATTTTGAAATAGCACTGTAATCCATAACCTTTGTTAATTTGGCTAGTCATTTAGGGCCTACTTTTTCTTTGGGGATTCAACATAAACAACATTTGTGCATCTGCAGTTTCAGGTACACACAATTTATAGTACTAGCTGTGTACACAGGTGGTAGAATTTTTGCATGCTTATGCCATTTAGAGAGAGCTTATACATGCAAGGCCTAGCACCTATCGTTATTGCTGGGAATAGTTCATGCACACAGGTCTAAACATCATGCTGTATTTCCTTCTGAGGGGCACTTGTAGCTGTCTTGTATTTGCTTGCATATAAACTATATCTCTGGTGTTTGGCTACTAATGTTAGAAAGTTTGTGTTTAATTTTTAATTGTGCTTCATTTTTTTAATATCACTTTTATGGGTTGCACAACTCATTGACATGTACCAATTAACTCATTATTTCATTGTTGTTTTCCTAAAATAGATGTAATAAAATTGCAATAAATGTTTCCTTTTAGATTAGTCTTTTAAAATCTATGTGACCACAGAAACTTCAGCATATGGAGCAAATTTTGCAAAACCATACTACTGGCCACGGTGCTCGCTATTGTGAGGTCTTTCATTTAATGGAAAACGACTTGGCCTTAGGGCATGTGTAGACGAAATGGGAGGTTACTTTGCCCTAAATTGAAGCGGTGGGTTTTAAAAACACTGCTTCAATTTAGGGCGAAGTAAACCCCTGTGTCGTGTACACCCATTTCTTACCTGCCTCTCCAGAGGTGGAGAGGGGAGGGCAATCTGCTGGCAGGCGGAGCGGTCCCTGAACTGTGGGAGGGGGGCAGCTGGTGCTTCCCTCTGTGGCAGTGGTGGCCCCCCACCATAGGTGGTACCTACCCACAGGCATCCAGCTCGGGTGGTCCCAGGGGGCACCGCGGCCGCCGAGGGAAGGACCGGGTCCCAGCGCAGCTCAGGCAGGCAGGCTCTGGGGGCGGGGTGAATAAGGCTTGCCACTTTTTTTTTTTTCTTTGGTGGAGCCTGTCTTCCTGGGCTACTGCCAGGCTACCTGCAGAGCCCCTGAGCTGCACAGAGCCTGATGCTTCACTCCGTGGCTGTAAGGCAGAAAACTAAAACTCCTCAGAGGTGTTTTAGTTTGCTGAGCCCCTAGTCATTTATGGCACATTACACCACTGAATGTGCTACAGCAGCTGGAATTAATGTGCAATACGCTGCCGACACGTGCAAACACCAACACAATTAAAGCAGTGCAAAAGCATTTAATCTGCTTTAAAGTGTCATGCACACATGCCCTTCGTTTTGTCTACACACACCCTTAGGCACTACACTTAGTCTTAAGTGTTTGCAGGATACAGTCCCTTGAGAGGAGCAGTTGCTAAACTGCAAAAGACTATTGACTTGAACAGCACCTTGTGTATCCTTATTGGTTATAGGTAACTTCTTCAGGTACTTCAAGGGGAAAGGGATTGAAGCTGTCTACAAGAGAAGACATTTTCTCTGTTACGTTTGTTCTCGTTGTGTATTAGACAGAGCTTGACAAAATGGCTTTTGATGCTCTCTCTTCCTCAGGCTCTGTAAATAAGTATTTACTAGGAATAGAAGTAAAGCTAAAACTGAATTATATACAAGCGTAGGCGTAACCAGTATTTTCGGCACCCTGGACAGCAGAGGGGCTCCAGGCTACAGCAGGTATTGTCTCCATTAGTGTGGAGTGACAGGAAGTGACAAAGATCCAGCAGCCAAGCAGTGCGGCCAGGGGTCTCTAGACTCCAGCACCTGTGAGCTCTGTTGATACACCGCAGGAGCAAATGATCAGGACCAACAGTAGTCAATGGGTGCAGGCAGGGGGTCTTGAGGTTGCTGCCAAAAGCCAGGATGAGCGAAGATATAAAGTATCAAATTTGGCAGTAGGATTACACCCCTGGCTGCAGGCTACTTCACAGCTTTATGCCTTCCTGCTCTTGGTTGCTGGCTCCTGGCCACTTCTGTCTACCCCATGGTACTAGAGGCCATTTGACCCTCTTTTGCCTGCCTCTGGTCTGGGACCCCTGATTAGTCAGTACCTGAGGCTTGTGGCTCCTTGCCTACTGCTAGTTACACTATGGGCTACAAGTGTGTCTGTGAGGAACCAAGGCATGCTTAATGGTGCATCATTATCAAAACTAATCTGGATAAGTATACTGCTGCCAGATTGATCTAAATGTATCAGTTAAATAGCATGTAGGGTGATATGAGGGTAAGTTACAACCCTATGTTCTCTACTGTACCCATGTGTTTAGTTTCCATCATTTCTACCATGCCTTGATCTGGATCTCTGGGAGCTTTCCATTATATTCTTGGTTGTAACACATTTAAGGTGGTACCTGCTGGAGAGGTGTGGATGATAAACCCTTTAACCCACGTGTTTTGATTTAACTATGGAAAACCATTTCTATTGCTTTTTTCCCATGTTATGCTCTTTCTGTCAGAGAAAGATAGGTAAACTCATTACAGCTATAATAAACACTAGCATGTTTAAGCAAGCACAGGATAAACTTCATATTATTGTATTTTCTTAAATGCTTTAAAGTTTTCTTTTACAGAGGAAAAACCACTAAATCCATTTCATTCAAGCAGTTCTGGAAAGCAAAAATCTGACTGCATACATTGTGTATGACCAGGTATTATATCCGTCTTAATTTATGGTTAAAGGGGATTATATTTTCAGTGCAAACATTCTATTTGATTCAGTTTTCATTTGAATGAAATAGGATAGAATGTGTATATATTTGCAAATAAATATCATTGTGTAGGTTTAAAGGGTGACTTGAGTAAATTGAATCTATTGTTGCATGGAACACTTAGTGTTGTATTTAGGCATGATCCAAAGTACTTTATTCTTGAATGAATGTAATCAGTAGGGCCTGGTGAAATTCATTCCTGAGTGCTGAAGGAACTAGCTGAAGAAATCTCAGAGCCACTGGCAATAATATTCACAGGGCACATCTACACAAGATGCTACATCAGAGCAAATTATACAACAGTCAATGTGTAAGCACCTAGAAGAGAAAGGGGGTGATCATTTATCACCGGCATAGATTTGTTTAGGACAAATCATGCGAAACCAGCTTGATTTCCTTCTGTGAGAAAGTAACTAATTTGGTGGATGAGGGGTATGCAGTGGACATAGTATACTTGGACTTCAATGAGTAGGGACCTACCAAATATATGGCGGGGTGGAGTGCGTGGCAGCTCCTTTAATCTTGCAGGTTCCACTGTGCGGAGGGGCCCCACTATTTGTTCCTTGCTCCTGATTGGCGTGGAGACAAAATGCAGTTTTAAATATGGTGCTGTTTTTGCCGCTTATCACTGATTGGCTGAGGGGCCCTGGCAGCCACGCTGTTGCTTACTGTCCGAGAGGCAAAAACAGCACCATATTTAAAACTGTGGATTTTGCCTCCTCACTGATCAGGAGTGAACAGTGAATGGTGGGGGTGAGGGTACATGGGCGAACCTGCAAAATAAAAAGAGCTGCCATGCACCACACTGCTCACTTCTGATCAGCGGGGAGGCAAATACCACAGTTTTAAATATGATGCTGTTTTTGCTTCCTGCCCGGTCAACAACAGACCACGTGGCTGCCAGGGCCCCGTGGCCAATCAGCAGCAAGTAGCAAAAATGACACCATATTTAAAACTGTGGTTTAGGCAATAGAATGATAGGGTTGGAAGGGATGTCAGTAACCATCCTGTCCAATCCCATCAATGAATTCAGGATGCGCTGTTCCTAAGTAATTTCAGAGATGCCAATCCAGCCTTTTGCTAAAATGCCAATACAAGGGATTCCACAGTTTCTCTAGGCAGCTTGTTCCATTTTCCTTCTGCTCTTACAATTAAGAACACTTTTTTTCTTGAGATTTAAGCTGCTTTGCTATAGTTGAAATAGAACATTCGTGTCCTGCCTTCTGTAGCAAGGTAGGACAGTTTTTCCCCCTCTTCTTTGTCTCATATCATGATGGTGCCGGTGCCTCCTCAATCTCTTTTCCTTCAAACTAAACAAACCTACATTTCTACTTATAGCCCTATCATTCTATTGCCTAATGATTACAGAAGAGTTTCCTTACCTGTAAATAATGATCATGTAACCTGTACCTTAAAACAAAATAAGAAATCTGTGCCTAGAATGGTAAAGATATTTAGGTGTCTAAAGATTCAAAAAGGTATAGAGAGGGATATTGCATAGGCACCTACGTCTCATTGAAATCAATGGCTTGTTTAGACATTTTTGAAGATCCTGCCTGTAGTTCCCGCGAAAGGGCACAGAACTTTCAAAGCAGTTAGTCTAGCACCCAGTAGTTCAACAGAGAGACTTTTTTTAGTACAGTAAGGTGTTCTGAATTCTTGATTATCCCTGGATCTTCATTAGCATTAGTAGACAAACTTAATTTGTTTTACCTCTCTGCTTCGTAAGATTGTTGTGAAGATTTCTCTCAGTAGCAGACTGCATGGAAGTTTTGCACATTTCTGTGACCTCCAGATTCCCTTCCAGGCTGCCATATGTTTTTGAAACCTTTGCCCTTCACCTGAAATTTTCACTAGTAGTCTAGTATTTTTCCAGATCTGTAGTCCAAGGACTGGTCTGAGCCCATCCTACTACCTGGTTTGACTGATACATACTGAGCTAGGCTTGGGAACAGAAAGCCCTAATAAATATTGTTCAGGGCCAGTGCAATGATGCCATTTTTCATTCTTGGAACCCTGATCTTCCAATACAAATTACTTGTAAAACATCATTAGTCTACTCCCTGGGAGAGGCAATATTAAGGACTTGATTCAATTCTGAAATTACAACAGCTAGCACTAGGGCAAATATTTTTAGTTTGAACAGCATTTTCAGGCTACTCTGGGATCTGCAAAAAATGGAAGGGCATAACCTGTTAGAAGTTCTGCTGCCAACTCAGTTAACAGGGATCTGTCACGAGAGGTTCAGGCAAAGGTTATGAGAAACTGATTGGCCAAACCCACAAAATGGAAAATTCACACTTAAAAATATGTAATTGCCTAAAGAAATGTGAAACCTTTTTGCCCTAAAATATACAGTTCATTTGAACTGCTTTTTGATTGCTAAATATGTTATGAAGCAGTTTCTTCAAAACGACATAGTCTCTAAGGTCTGCAAGCTATTCTTTTTGTTGACTTTTTTCTTGTCACAACAAGTAAAATTTTAATCTTAGTAAATTCCATATCTAAGCACTTATGTCAAGCATTCATGATTTTTATGTATTAAAATAAAGCTGCTCAAATATGCTATCTTTTGGGCAAAGTTAATTTTCAGGAGTGTTATACAGCTCAGATACAGTTTACTATACAAGCAATTAATTGTATGTAAATTCTTATTCTACATGTCAAGTCACATTTCTGCATAGCAGGATCCAAACCAACTTCTGTGTTTGCATGTTGTGCCCTCACATAGCACCCAATTCAAAGGTTATTTTTAGCAAGAAAATTGCACTTATTTTATTATCAGCAGAATCAAAAGAA